AACATAAGTACATGTATGTCACATACATGTACTTATGTTGTGTAAAAGTTTGAACTAATTCTGATCAAGTTTGGATCAGAAAAAATTATCAAATTTAGAATTATTTCTTTTTCATTTTTGACAAAATTTGGCTAAATCTTGTATTATAGTACAGTACAGGGTATTTGGCCCAATTTTTGAGTAAACTGACAATCCACTGACAAGAAGCTGCATGCATGAGCAATAATTATACCAAAATCCTGTGGGAAATCCTGATGCAGACACAAATTTATTCTATAGAACATACAATCTATGGTTCAGTCCTATGAATGTAAATTTAGCATGGGATGAATCTTTTGTAAGTCAGCAGTGGCTCGTCCCTGAAAGTTTACTAAAACAGGTAAATGTGAATTTTTTCACAAAATGATAAAATCAGTGATAAAAGTGTAGTAGACTGTTTACTGAAATTGCCATTTTCACAGCACTTTACACACATAATTGGTTCACATAAACATTCAAATTGCTTCTTTTTTTACTTTTTCACTAGATATAGATCTAGTAGTACCAGTCAGTATATCTGGAATCAATTGGGTTTACTCTTAAAGATCGGGAACCATTGAAATCAATACTTCTTCATTAGCACAGAACCGGTCTTCATTACAATCTATAATTTTAACTTTTCTTTAAAATGAATTTATAGTTCTTTGTGATAGAGGTGTTATATCCTTATTCACTTTTATTTTGTAACTTTTTGTCTCTGACAATGCAACTGAGCTTTTTCTTTTTTTAATGAGTATTTGTCAGGAGTAGACCTATATAGTAGTACTAGTACTAGTTAATTGAAATGATTTCCATTCTGGTCTGATGACTGGAGGCTTGCCTTAAAATATACCTTCTTAACTATCTATTGGTAGCCCAAGGCTAAACAATTTGGTCAAGATTGCAAAGTTGACATGAGCAACAACCAGTAGCACACTGACAATATATAACATAAGCTGATATTCAATACAACAATGCCTTGGTTTATTTTATTAAGTCTAATAGATCTAAAAGTACAAATCACAGCAGCAGTTGATGGCTCAAGTCCATTCATATTCATGTCAGACATGTTTGCCATTATAAAGGTATTTTTGAAGATCAAACTTTATCATTAAATGGCTACAATGCTTTTTTAATTGATAATAATATTTTACAAAAAAAGTTCTATCACGTGGAGTAAGTTGTATTTAGAAACCTTCATCAACGACTCAGAAGTTTGCCAATGAAAGTTAAAAATTAACATGTTTAGTCACAAATAGCAGCAGATATAACTGAAACTTAATACTGTCACAATCATGTCCATACTGCACAATAGATATAGCTAGTAATGTCCTGACACTATATTCTAGTAAAATTAACATTCTTTATAAGCATGACATATTCATCTATAGCAACATATACATGCAAAATGCAGCTACCGTTACTCTAAAATTTTTGCCCTTTTATGGAAACATTATTGCAATTATGATAGACATACTACTGTAGTAAAGTTTAGCAATTCTAATGGTGCAAACAAAACTTCTAAATTCCATGTTTATCGAAAGTTATAACAAAAAAATAGGTCAAGTGAAACTGAACAAACCAGGGGCGTATCTAGGAATTTAAGAAGGGGGGTGCTGAGGGCGCGCGAAGCGCGCCGCGATTTTGGCCACACCCACTTTTACGGCGGTATAACGGGGCCTGCCTGAAATGCGGATCCACGCGGATCAAATGCGGATCAGGCTGAAATGCGGATCAACGCGGAACGCTCGCGGATCTCTATTGAAACTTGACTGATCTGTCTGAAAGAATGGTATCTATGCATCAGGAGGGAATTTTTATTAGCTCTATTTAAGTTTTTAATAAGAACTTCATCATTTTAGCAGTTTCAGAACAGGTAGGCTGTTTATGATCATTAGATCTATGTCAATAATATTATTTTCGTTGATTACATTTACTATAGTGTCAGTTTTATTGACAGTTAGAGCTGATATAATAGTTTCAATTAGACTATAAAACTTCATAGTAACGTAGTTGCTAGTAATTTTCATGACAGTTAGATCTATAACGTAGGGCGGGGCAATCTCGCCATAAATTCGATACAATCATAATAAAATATTGATAAAATCTTACCCATCAACCGAATAGTCATGAAATTTAATACACAGTAGCAGGCAAGGTTTAGCTAGTTGCACAGAAACTTTTATTCAAAATTTCTTCCTTCAAAAAAAGTTAGTAGCATTTAAGTAAAGTAATAGCTTTTTCAGCCATTGGGGCAATCCCGTTAATAACTATTAATTAAATTTTTTCTCATCAATTTAATGTATGCATGTAATGATGTTCTTGATGATTACAAAATACTATTCACAATACAGACAAAGCCATATATCATCCTTGGGGATGTGACTCAAACCAAGACAAGTATAGTGATACCAATTAGTACAATTATCACAGCCAATCCACATGTC